AACCAACACCTTGAATTGGACCCGGAAGCAAACTGGCACCCAATGCAGCTCGTGGAGCAGACGTGTTACATGGGCCCTCCTTGGGGCTCCAGCAGTAGCCCGCATGGCTGCATTCTGGACCAGCTGTAGCTTCCAGATACTCTTCAAGGGTAGCTCCATGTAGAGCGCATTGCAGTAGTCTATCTGGGAGACAACAAGGGCGTGAGTGACTGTTCGAAGGGCATTGGTTATAGGTGCCACTTGGCGCAAGAGAAGATAAATTATTTTAAAACTAGAAAAATAGGAACTATGACCAGGCAGGTAGGGGAATTCATGCTTTCTTACCTGATCCAAGCCAGTCGTATACAAACCTTGAGCTAGAAAATGGAATTAGACCATTATGCAGTTTGCTTAGCAGTTTTCATCCTCTGCACTGAGTTGTATTGTACTGTATTTCATTTCATTTGCAATGTTTGAAGCTCACATTAGTCCATAGAATCTGAAATCAGGAATTTAACATAGAGATGGCAACCTGGATTACGATCCCCACATTCTCAATTAATATCCATACATCAAGGATTGTAGGAACTGTAGTCCAAAGAATTTGGAAGGTGCCAAGTTACCTACCTCTGATATAAGGATAGGTAGCGGCTGAAATGTCAGATTGGATATTGAGAGATCTAGGCCAGGCTCAAGTTGCCATTTGACTATGGCTCTTACAAGACAATTAGTTTAGTCACTTTCTCTTAGTCTAACTTAATTCACATGTAGGATCCAGTTACAGGTAATACTATATATGTTGCTTTGAGCTTAGAAAAAAGGTGGAACATAAGTGTTATGAATAAATAACAGAAATAAATTCAAAGGATAATAAATATATTTAAAACATCTGAAAAACTCTGGATTTATATAAGATATCAATGCATGTTTTTCATTTTTATGCATTGGGTCATGACCCATCATGTAACACATTAATTAAATTCTGCTTTTCTATGCAGAGAAACAATCAGAAATCAGAAATAAGTGAAACTTCTGTCCCCAAATCAGCTGTACATTACAATACTTTCTATTCTACAAAAGGAAATATATCCTAAAATAACCTAATTATATATTTATAAAACAAATAATCAGTACATTACTCAGCATTGGATTATGACATTATGTAGTATTACTATTGGATTGGCAATATGTGACCACATGTTGTCAAGCAGGAGCAAATCATTAAATATACAAGTATGAAAAGGAAGAGTTTATATAATGATATCACACTACTCATCATTTTAGCATCATTGTGATTAGGTATGGACCCTTGTGCATGTGACAATATGAAATTGAATATTCATTTGTTTAATTAATTAATTAAAATTGTTTCACTGGAACAAATATGTGAGTCACTGTGACTCCTAGCTGTAGCTGAATTGAATGCAGATTATAATGTAGAGCTTCTGAAAAGTGAACAACCCGTAAAATACTTCCAGCTTCTCTGAGTCCATTTATATTAAGCAAGGCTGAATTTCTCCCATGAGGATGGGAAACAGTTGCATATTCATCGCATACATTTGCTGCTGAATAGCCTTCTTCTCCTGCCTGTTTATCTGCCAGTTATTTTTTCTCCTATTAGAGTAGAAGCAGAACATAATGCGGGGGAGGGGGAGGGGTTGATTACATGGAAGGAAGGAATTTGTCACTGAAAGTGAAGCCATTGTGGATGTAATATGCAATATGACATCACATGTTGCATTAAAATCAATTCTTACTGCATTTGTAATATGTGAGAATCAAATCAGAGCTGCCAAATACAATTTCATTTCATTCTGGAAAATGTTATTTGTAAATAAACGCTGCTCTGTATAAATAAAAATATGGAGAGAAGATACTATTTCTCTGTAACGATTCTTAAGACTGAGTGATGGAAATCAAAGGTTGGGGTAAGGTTGGATTTTTATTATTATTTTTATATAAAATCTAAATGATGAGTCAGTTTGGCAGAATGAAAGTTGTTAATATTTGACAGGTCTCAGTATCAGAGATTTCATGGACTGTCAAAATATGGGCAAACAAGTCCTTGGGGCAGAGAAAAAGAAGTATTGACTTTCCCAAGACACTCAGTAGAGTTTCATTCCTTTTGACACCTTCCTTCTGTACTAGATTCAACATAAAAGGTGTTTGGCAGGAAGATAAGATAGCTCGAAGGCAAAGCTTACCTATCTTTAAAAAAAAAAAAAACGAAGGAAACTGAAAATCAATATTTTCTTTCTTTTGCTGAAGTTTTGCATTGGGCTATGATATTTGCTTGTCCTGTAAATAGCTAAATAAAGCAAATTGTTTCTCAGTTATAAAGAAAAAAATAGATCAGGATTATTTTAATAA